AAAAAAAAAAAAAAATACATTTTTTATAAATATAAACCTTCTGGCGACCCTTCTTTTTTTCTGTATAATACGCTTTCTTTTGACTTTTTAAAGTCTTCGTTGGTAACTTTCATTCGCCGTTCTCTCAACGCCATTAACCCAGCTTCAGTACATATTGCCTGCAATTACATTTTATATCATAATATTGAATAAAGAACAACATAATACAAAAAAAAATACTGATAAGAGTATAGAAAAAGTACCTTGATGTCTGCTCCTGATAAATCATCTTTTGCCATGATCAACTCAGTTAAATTTACATCTGGAGCTAAAGTCATTCTACTTGTGTGTATATTGAAAATTCTCTTCTTAGTCTTTTCATCCGGCAATGGGAATTCAATTTTCCTATCGATACGACCAGGTCTAATTAGAGCAGGATCCAGTGTTTCGATTCTATTAGTTGCCATAACGACTTTGACGTCTCCTCTGCTATCAAAACCTGTTAACCAAAGTCAAAGATAATGCTTTTCAGCTTATAAAAAAAAAAAAATTTAATAAAGATGCAACGATTTCTTACCATCCAATTGATTTAGCAGTTCCAGCATGGTTCTCTGAATTTCTCTTTCACCACCGCTGTTACTATCGTATCTTTTGGTACCAACTGCGTCGATTTCATCTATAAACACAATCGATGGGGCATGTTCTTCTGCAACTCTAAACAGTTCTCTGACGAGCTTGGGCCCGTCTCCCAAGTACTTTTGAATAAGTTCCGATCCAACAACTCGGAGGAAAGTTGCCGATGTTTGATTAGCAACGGCTTTAGCCAACAGGGTTTTGCCTGTTCCAGGAGGTCCATACAGAATGACACCCTTTGGCGGTTTAATACCCATCTCTTCATAATATTCTGGATGAGTCATAGGAAGCTCGACAGATTCCTTGATTTCTTGAATTTGTACATCAAGACCTCCAATGTCAGCATAAGTTTCTTGCGGAGCCTTCTCCAACTTCATCACAGTGACCATTGGGTCTGTATCATCACCCAAAACCCCAACAACGGCGTGAACTTTGTGATTCAGTAGAACAGAACATCCTGGCTCCAGCTGATCTTTGTCGACAAAGGACAGAATAGAAACATAGTGTTCTGAACCTACGGAAGTAGATACAATGGCATGATTGTCATCGATGATTTCCTCCAGCGTTCCCACGGACATAGGTGTCCCTCTCAAATCGTCAACCTTGGACCTCTCCTCTTCGTTCTTCTCTTCCTGTGGCTTTAGACGCTCCTGGTTCCTAATGAATTCCTCCTCCATCAGGAGATAATCCTTGATGCGCTCCAGTTTTAAGAGTTTCAGCCTGCATCTTGTATGAGGAGTGACCTGAGGCAGCTTTAGAGCAGCGTCCGGTCCTTTTGTCCTGCGCTTTTTCTTGCCCACCCTCGTTGGAACGGGTGGCTCGTATTTCTTCTTCTTGTCCTTGTCGTCCTTTCTGTCGCCACCGGTTCCACCGGGCCCAGATTGATGCTGACCCTAAAATATTTTGAAAATTGTCATTCAATCGTTTGATGTTCTTGAAAATAGGTTAACTATGGTTGACAATCAACCAGACAAAAACCATTGCATTCAACTCATGTACTATTAGCCACTATTTTGCACAATAATTATTGTATTTCAAGTCAATTGAACATTTAACTGTTTACGTGAATATTTAATCGTAGCTTACCATTTAATTTTTTGATGGGTACTGGAGAAATTAACAAGTCATCTAATCTCTCCACTCACTTTTTCTTCTGCAAGAGGCAGAGAGAGAGAAAAACACAGAGAGAAAAATGACATCAGCGCCACCGCAAGCGTGCTGCGCACGGCTGAAGCTATTTTTTTGAACTTTTCTAGTTACAAAAAGAATGTTAATTTTCTCCAACATAAGAGTACTTGTATTAATAAATATGCATTGATTAATTTGATTTGAAATAATTTTTTATTAATTGATTTTTTTTCGAGTACAACAATGTATAACACAATCGAAATACAAAATTGTAACATCTGGTCATTGTTTCAGCACTTCCGTCTATTGATTTTTAAATACGTAATTGATACTTCTAAAAGTTACAATGAATTGCATACTGTTACTTGGCAGTCACATATATTGCACTCGTTACTTATTTTCGATCTGGATTTGAGTCTATCGATAGTGAAAATTACATTACGAATAAATAATAATCACAAATCGTTATGTTAAAATGTAAATTTATTAACGTGAGAAGAGTCAACGGAAATTCACTATTTACATTTTTTTTTATCAACGTAATGTATGTGTGTTAGTAATTTTATTCTAACATAAATTAAGAAAGTTTTAAAATTTCAGGAAACAATAAAACGTGAGACAATAATTCACAAAAAAAAGTTCATTTGAACAGCGTTTTATGACAATGATTACAATGTTGATTTACTGTTGAAACTAATAATACAATTTCTCTATTCTTCAATTCCAAATTAAAACAATAATTTACTTAATGATAGACGGTTGGAATAAAATTTTGTCCAAGAATATCATTGTGAGAAGAGAAAAAATATTATTAACAAATAACTAAAATGTTGCAGTCCAACAAGTGATTCACATATTTTTGATGGATGCAACAATTAGCTCATCTTTACTTTCACTGAATCACAGCTGGAGGGTTTAAAATAATTACAAATGTCCAAGTTTCAAAGATGAAACTTTTGCATTCATTTAAGAAATAAATTACGATATGACACTGTACAGATACGTAACTCTCGAGTAAGTAGAGGTGCACAAAGCAATTGAAAGAATAATTTTTTGGAAGTAACTATTTTTTATAGACCAGCTAATATTATTCTAGGATCTTCCACGGCGTCTTTTATTTTTCTTAGGAACATAACAGCCTCACGTCCATCAATTAATCGATGATCATAAGTAAGAGCAACGTACATCATGGGACGAATAACGACCTAAAATCAAAATCAGTAATTTTTTATTAAAACTATTAAAACTTTTTTTGAATTAAAAAAAAAAAAAAAAAAAAAAAATCAATTTTATACCTGTCCTTTGACTGCAATAGGTCTATCAAAGACTCCATGCATTCCCAAAATAGCGCTTTGAGGCGGATTAATGATGGGTGTTCCCATGAGTGATCCAAACACACCACCATTGCTAATAGTAAAAGTGCCACCATCCATATCTTCGATGGAAATTTTTCCTTTTCTCGCTTTATCACTAATAGCAGCAAGTGCTATTTCTATTTCAGCAAAGTTCTTATTTTCTATACTTCTCAGTACTGGAACAACTAAACCTTTCGGCGTGGCAACTGCCACACTGATATCAACATAATCTCTATACACTATATCGCCACCATCAATGACAGCATTAACAACAGGTTGATCTTTCAAAGCATAAGCAGAAGCTGCGATAAACGGGCTCATAAAACCTAGTTTAAGTCCATACTTTTTATTGAAAGCCTCTTGATTCGTTTTGCGAAAATCAATAAGTGCACTAAAAATGTGAAAACAAAAAAAATATGAGTAAAGTACTTTTGTTAACATGTTTTCGATGTCACTTACCTCATGTCGATTTCGTTGAATGTCGTCAGCATTGCATTCGTGTTTTGAGCATCCTTTAGACGTTCAGCTATACGGATTCGCATTCTGTTCATCTTTACTCTCTGTTCTGTTCTAGTTCCAATAATTTCACGTGAGTAATCTTGTGGCGGCAGTTGAACTTTGGCGCCTTCAAGAGACTAAGAGATTTTTTTTTGATAAAACACCCAGTAAAATAAAATCGGTTATTTTTTTAAATTAAATAATTTTCTACCTGCGCATGTTTTATGGCTGCTACAGGCATAGATGCTTTTGGAGCTTGTGGTGGAGGCGGTGCTGATGCGGCAGGAGGAGGTGGAGGTGTCGGAGTAGTTGGTTTGGGAGGAGCAGCTGCAGCTGGAGCTGCTGGAGGTGGTGGTGGAGGAGCTGCTTTTGCAGGCTCTGGGGCTTTGGGTGTCTCAGCCTTTGGAGGTGCAGCTCCCGCAGCAGCTGTAGCACCAACCTCAATGGTACACAACTTGGTTCCAGGTGTAACGGTTTCACCATCTTTGACAAGGATAGTCTTAATAACTCCCGCAGCAGGAGATGGCACGGGCACTGAAGTCTGTTAAATTAAATTATTTGAGGAATGTGTGTATAAAAATGCAAAAGTGCCTTGAATCAAGATAAAAAACGTATACCTTGTCAGTCTCAATTTCACATATGACATCATCTTCTTTCACTTGATCACCCTCTTTTTTGTCCCACCTGACATCTCCTTCGCTTATACTATCAGCAAAAGTTGGCACCGTAACGTCTCTAGTTTCCCCTGGTAACGTAAAAAGAAGTAGTTTGAATAATAATCAATTAATCATCACAACTCTAAAATTGCTACTGTTGATCAAACTCACACAGGCACGATGTTGACCTTATATATCTAGATTGAACACTCACATGATGTGGTTTGGAGCTACTGCTAAGATGAGGACATTAATAATTTACTAAAACCAACAAAATACTTTTGGTTAGAATACAATAAGGTTAATAACTTACAGCTTTACGATACTATTGAAGAGCTTTCTTGTGCAAGCTGCTGATGAGGGTCCTGAAAATGTAAATTCAAGCCTTTAAGTGTATCTCATCAAAAGATGTTGTTTACATTTGAAAAAAAACGAAATTAAGTAAACAATCGTTATTACCTCCTTGATAAAGGTTCCTTACCACCTGGAAAAATATAAATAACAGTAATAACCACATGAAAATTTCATGATTCAAGAGTGTGCATCAGAAGGGTACATTTCAGGAGTAAGCGCGTGTGCAAACAGGTCAGAAGGAACGAGTGGTGGTAAAACGAGCGAAAATAGCAAACTTTTTGACAGTAGTTCCATGTGCACACGTTATACCTAAGAATAGTGAACAGAGATAAATTGTATGTGCGCCCTTTAGAAAGTCTATGAAAGGTCAGCAGTGAGAAGAAGTAGCACAACAGGTCCAAAAAATTTTCGCGGGCAACAAAAATAAAAGCCTTTAATATTGGTATTTGCAGATTTTGGTATAACGATTATATAATGGGGCTGTGTGTGACGGCAGGTGTGAATAGACGTGCAGGAAGGTGGATTTTCTCGAGATACGACCCCCAAAAGAGCACAGCCGGATATTAGTATCCCAAGACTCGATCGACCATTAACTAGCAGGTGAACTATATCTTTTCCAGAGGGTTGCATTTGATAGGTACAAAAAAATACAAACACTCTGTTCGCGAGTTAAAAACGTTAACGTGTATAAATAGTTGTTCCTTACCTTTGACTGCAGCAAGGTTAAGCGCCTAAGGGCGCGCGGGGCGAGCCGCGAGGAACCCCCAAGTATGACCCCGGCCATCCTCGAGCTGCAGCAGACACTGATCGGCCTTCAGAATGGTTGAGCAAAAAAAGCGTCCGAATTAAACAGGCCAGCTCGAATCTATACTATCTCTCTCGCTCTTTTAGACTTGTGTCTTGTGTCTTGCTCCTCCCAAAACGGTCCGTCCCATATACACACCCACACACACGCAGTCACATCAGCACATGCAGTTTATTCGCGTTTGTTCGGTTCAGTTCGTCTTTTGCTCAAAACGGCACCTTTTCTTCCGGCCGTTGTTTGCAAACTGCCCTGTCGAACCGATGGTTAAGGGAAGCGCGCGCCCTTAATATCATTTAATTTATTAGAGGTGTGGTATTTATTTTTATAACGAATAAATTAAAAAAAAATAAATAGTACGTGATGACGCAGCTATACCGATAATACTTTTCAAGAAGTTTTATTCAATCATCATCGATTAGTGGCTATATAGTATGAATTCTTGTAGATCATGTATGTACATACATACGTGCACATGATATTCAATTATTCTCAAGCTTATTTTACCGATAATAATAATACACAACGTCATAAACATATTGGGTATGTATTTAATTGTTGCAAAGTAAAAAAATTCCAATATTTATCCATAATTCAATCTGTAACATTTACACGTACTTACAATTTAAAACTGTTAACTGTACTATAACAATCTTAATAAAACTAATTTCAATGAAGTTTAAATGAGATTATGGGAAGGATTCTGGTAAACACATCATACACATATGTTTTATGATTTTTCGTGATTTATTACAACATCATTTTAGTTTTATGTACAATAAAAAAAAAAAAAAAAAAAAACAAGGCCATAAACATCATTAAGATATTAATCTATGTTTGGCGCATAAAATTTTCAATTTTTAGTTTTTCTCCATAATAAAATAAAAGAGCTCGCTCGAGAGTAATTGACTATTTTTCCTTAATCTCGTTTATTTTTTAGACACGACGCATTTTATTATACAAAATCAGTAGGCCATGTGCCTATGATTAGTCTTATGGTTATAGGACTTTTTCTTATTTAAAATCGCACTTAATTCTAAAAATTTTTGTATACAAAAGTGACTTGACGTTTAAAATCAATTCTTTGTTGTTTTTTATTATATAAAAATACACATTCGACGTTTTCCGAGAGACGAAAGGTATTTAAAAAATTCGCAATTTACATATTAGTACAAATTGTAAATACATTTTTACACGTTTTTTTTTTTGTAGGTTTCGGTTACGTTAATGTCCACCTACTAACGTAATTAATTTCATTACATTATTATGATAATTATAGTCCTTGTACGAAACATAAATAATTGAACATTTATACAAATTACTCAAAGTGCGGACTAAACTTTACAATAAGAGTTTAATTTTCAAATACTTGCAGTATTTAAAGTGAATTATAAGAAATGTTTATGTGATCAACGACATTGTGATCCAATGTGTTTCCTCATAATCGAATATTAATAAATTACTAGAATAAATAATAAATAAATCAAAATTTAGTAAAATCACACACTCACACTAGCATACTTTATAATACACTGAATAATGCTTCTGAATAATAAATATGGTGCTCTAACTCGATTCTTCCGGTGAAAATAAAATTAAAAAAAAATAAAAATAAATAAATAATAAAAGGTGTAAAGAATAGAAGAAATGGACATATTTATGTGGAATCTTTAGCAAAGTTGTTGACGGTGTCTTGGAAAAATCTTATACTGCCACTGGTAACAAATTGAACTAGTTTCGCACCACTCCTTCGCGATTCGCGATAAAAAATCTATGTACAATAATTGAGATAACCTCAATGGGAAAAAAACGCATTCCAATATTGGCCGCTTTTGTATACACGTCATGGACCATTTACGTTTTTAAAAGATTCAGGAACTTGAATTCGGCCGGCTATTTTTCTCTTAAAAACTCCAAGACTCTTCTTGGAAAATGTATAATCTCAAATTGACAATTTTATTGCTACTCTTGTTAATACTTTTAGTTGCATAACTAGAAAATTTATGTATAAAATTTATATAAAGTAGAGAAAACTCGAGTTTTTTTTTTTTTTTTTTATATTACAAAATAATTTAATATTGCAATCGGCTAGTTGATAACTTTCTCTTCTTTTTCTTTTCTTGTAGAGAAAATTGTAAATGCCAATAGTAAGTACAGGTAACACATAATAAACTACAATAATAATAGCAATAATTATATCAATATAATACAGTAAATGATAAAAAAAAAAAATCATTAAATTAATAAAATTCAAGTCATAATAATGTTTATCAAATGAGAGCAGATTGAAAAAAACTCGAATTTCCTTATAGTGTGTCAGTCGCAAGTTCTCAAGTAAGTATAAGAACAACGCTAGTTCAAGTAAGCTGCGTGTAATAGCCTCTAGATAATTTTATTAATTAACCAGTACAAATTTTTTTTTTTCTATTTAAGATTCATAAGTGCAACACGTACATTTTGACTGATTCATCCGATACTTAGGGTGAAATTTTTTTCAGCAATTTACTAAAACTTCATACTTACTCTCCGGTACTTCTCTCTCGCGACTCGCAATTTTTCACTGTAAGTTTTCGTATGTTTTTTCGTTCTCTTCTTCTTTTTTCTTCGTTATGTACTTATTTTAAACTCCGGATTTTTGTTGCTACATGTTCGTTTAAGCGATGCTCTTGTATGTATCCATTATGCAGCAGAAATAAATTGTCAATTACAACTACATCATATTAACAAACAGTCGTTAGTCGTTATACCGTCGTTAGCGTCTGCGACAAGATAATAGTAACTAGTGACACATATGTACTACATATGTATACATTAAATAGTAGGATGTTATTTTGGAGATTCGGAGCAATCGGAGATTCGGAGCAACGAAGCGAACAAAGCATGATGCGTATACTTATAACTGTGATACAAATAGTAGGGGGGTAGAGAGAAAGAGAAGAGTCTAAGGCTGCGGACACATGGAGAGCGTAACGCGTACCGCGTAACCCTTTGAGCCCATGAGAGTGAGAGAGAGGTGCGCGTATTTTACCTCTCTCTCACTCTTACGGGCTCCAATGGTTACGCGGTACGCGTTATATGCTCTCCATGTGACCGCGGCCTAAGGCTGCGTTATTCAGACGTAACGTCAATAGCAATCTGCAATCCACATGAATGCACGGGTGCGAGAGAGATGAAGGATCATTCGCCTACGGACGTTTTTTTGGTTCGGGCGTGATCGGGATTCGTCGGCGGCCTTCGCTCTTGAATGAGTCTCAGCTAAGAATCAATCAGCGCCATCTAGCGGACGATTATTCTCGAGAAAACAAGTGGCTCAGATACCCTACGGACGTTTTTTTATTTCGGAGGACGAAGAAAAGCTTAACTCATATTTCGTTATGTAAAATAACATATAGAAATACGAGTTGTGCTTTTTTTCGTCCGCATACATGTAGGGCTGAAATGTCTAAAAGTCACCGCTGATTGGCTATACTATTTGCAGGCGGTCAAATTTGTCAGACGACGAAAAAAAGCACAACTCATATTTCTGAACGTTATTTATCAACACGAAATCTGAGTTGAGCTTTTCTTCGTCATCCGAATAAACATACTTATGAGAGGTCAATTTTCAGGTAAAAAATAAATTGTAAACTTGCCGCAAACAGCACATGCAACGTCAATTTGTAATTTTATATCTTTTGAATCAGTTGCGGCTGGTTTATAATTGACTAAATTGCTCTACTGTAAATAGTAATAATTATTTGGATCAGCGCCATCTAGCGGTGCGAATTTCTGAACAAAAAAGTGGCCCTAAACTTTTGAACAAGAGCTTTAGCGCTTAGAGCCACTTAGCCAATTATAAACCAGCCGCAACTCATTTCGTAGCTATAAAATAAAAAAATAACGATACATGTGTTTTTGGCGGCAAGTTAACAATCTATTTTCTACCAAAAATTGGCTTCCTAAGTATTTCTATTTTTTAAGTTAATTTTCGTGTAAAAGATAGATTGTNAGCATTTCCGTACAAAAGGAGGACTAAGTGATTGCTGGCGAATATAGTTATTCTCGGGTTTCAGAATACCGAACACAGTATTGTGGAGTTAAGAAAACCCAGTGTCGCTGTGGAAACTTCAACAATTAATAAAAAAAAAATTAGTGCAATTGAAAAAAAAAATATATATATATATATGGGTATCGTCCTAGCAGACGATCTTACCCTTTGAGTCATGAAGTTTTATTTATGGTAAAATAGGAACCTACTATTGCAGCAGCGAGTCGATACATTTGTTTTTCATTTTGATATAGCTGTCGCTAAGTAAGAAATCCAAGAATGTCAGTTGGTATATTATTTAGTTGCAGATTCACGTTTTCCTTTTCCACAATCGTCCGTCATTGTTTTGCCATTTTGTATAAAAGGGTAAGGTAAAGCTACAAATTAAAGATTAATGAACGATTAATGCTACATAATAACCAAATAGTACTTACTTATCTACTTATCTAAAGTTATTTGAAATTTCTTAATTCAGAATTCAAAATGACATACAATTCGCCAAATTTTTTGTGCGAATGAAAAAAAAGACAGTACTTACCTGTTATAGGCATATTATAACAAGTATCTTGAGGTTCAAATTGGTGCACATTGTTATACAGTAATTTAATTTTGTCATTATATTTTTATACAAGTGTTTAAATAAACGAAAAGTCAAATTTTTAATGGACAATCAAGTTGACGAAAACGATGAAGATATATTACAAATAGCGTCGAAAACATCATCCAAAGCTATTAAATCAGTCGCCAAAGTAAAAAAATAAATTTTTTTCTTAATAATACCACAAGTGTTGATGTGACCATAACGAGAATTTTACTTACAGACAGGCTACAGAGAAGGTGTGCAAGATGGTTCAGAGTCGGTTTTTCAAGAGGGTTTCGACAGAGGCTACAAGCAAGCATTTCCATCCACTTTCAAACTAGGAGTTTACTATGGACTCGCAAATAGTCTATTGAAAGGTGTAAAACATCCTACTGAAATCAAGGATATTTTGTGCAGTGCAAAAAAAGGCATTTGTTACGTGTGTAAGACTGAAATTGACAAAATTTCTGAAAATCCGTTAATGTCGATAGATACTGTGGTAACTTGTCAAAAAGAACATGAAGACAAAGTTTTGAAAACACTGTTTGATTACTTTGATCCACTTTTCAAAAATCATAATATATGTTATGACCTATCCAGCTTACAATCATAGTTGTGCATAATAAAATATTTTTATTTTTCACAAAAAGTTTTCATGTTAAAATCTCCTGATAGATACTTATTTTCAAACCTGGAGTTCTACAAACCTCATACGAATTTTTTTTGTGTCACTCATTCATCTGTATCGTGTACGTTCATTATAATTTTTTCACAACATTTAAGAATAATTCATTCATTTGATTTTTTTATAATATTCAATAAATAATAATTAAAAAATACATCCTGTAAATTGATTAAAAACCAACATACTTATGTCGTTAATTAAAAGGATCACTCCTAACTTACTTAGTAATTAAATGAAAAGCCGTATTAATTGTGTTAATTTTTTTATTAATCGTAGAATTTAACTAGTTTGAATCATTTGAGTTATAAATGTATTGCCATTAACAGTAGATCTTCACAATATTATCACTTTTTTTTCTCACATACAAAATATTTGTTACTAGGTGGTAAAAAAATGTTCATAACTTGGAAAACACAATTATTATTATTTATTTTTAATTTACATCTAATAAACACTGAAAGATGTGGAACCTCAGTAAAAAAAAAAAAAAAATACATTTTTTATAAATATAAACCTTCTGGCGACCCTTCTTTTTTTCTGTATAATACGCTTTCTTTTGACTTTTTAAAGTCTTCGTTGGTAACTTTCATTCGCCGTTCTCTCAACGCCATTAACCCAGCTTCAGTACATATTGCCTGCAATTACATTTTATATCATAATATTGAATAAAGAACAACATAATACAAAAAAAAATACTGATAAGAGTATAGAAAAAGTACCTTGATGTCTGCTCCTGATAAATCATCTTTTGCCATGATCAACTCAGTTAAATTTACATCTGGAGCTAAAGTCATTCTACTTGTGTGTATATTGAAAATTCTCTTCTTAGTCTTTTCATCCGGCAATGGGAATTCAATTTTCCTATCGATACGACCAGGTCTAATTAGAGCAGGATCCAGTGTTTCGATTCTATTAGTTGCCATAACGACTTTGACGTCTCCTCTGCTATCAAAACCTGTTAACCAAAGTCAAAGATAATGCTTTTCAGCTTATAAAAAAAAAAAAATTTAATAAAGATGCAACGATTTCTTACCATCCAATTGATTTAGCAGTTCCAGCATGGTTCTCTGAATTTCTCTTTCACCACCGCTGTTACTATCGTATCTTTTGGTACCAACTGCGTCGATTTCATCTATAAACACAATCGATGGGGCATGTTCTTCTGCAACTCTAAACAGTTCTCTGACGAGCTTGGGCCCGTCTCCCAAGTACTTTTGAATAAGTTCCGATCCAACAACTCGGAGGAAAGTTGCCGATGTTTGATTAGCAACGGCTTTAGCCAACAGGGTTTTGCCTGTTCCAGGAGGTCCATACAGAATGACACCCTTTGGCGGTTTAATACCCATCTCTTCATAATATTCTGGATGAGTCATAGGAAGCTCGACAGATTCCTTGATTTCTTGAATTTGTACATCAAGACCTCCAATGTCAGCATAAGTTTCTTGCGGAGCCTTCTCCAACTTCATCACAGTGACCATTGGGTCTGTATCATCACCCAAAACCCCAACAACGGCGTGAACTTTGTGATTCAGTAGAACAGAACATCCTGGCTCCAGCTGATCTTTGTCGACAAAGGACAGAATAGAAACATAGTGTTCTGAACCTACGGAAGTAGATACAATGGCATGATTGTCATCGATGATTTCCTCCAGCGTTCCCACGGACATAGGTGTCCCTCTCAAATCGTCAACCTTGGACCTCTCCTCTTCGTTCTTCTCTTCCTGTGGCTTTAGACGCTCCTGGTTCCTAATGAATTCCTCCTCCATCAGGAGATAATCCTTGATGCGCTCCAGTTTTAAGAGTTTCAGCCTGCATCTTGTATGAGGAGTGACCTGAGGCAGCTTTAGAGCAGCGTCCGGTCCTTTTGTCCTGCGCTTTTTCTTGCCCACCCTCGTTGGAACGGGTGGCTCGTATTTCTTCTTCTTGTCCTTGTCGTCCTTTCTGTCGCCACCGGTTCCACCGGGCCCAGATTGATGCTGACCCTAAAATATTTTGAAAATTGTCATTCAATCGTTTGATGTTCTTGAAAATAGGTTAACTATGGTTGACAATCAACCAGACAAAAACCATTGCATTCAACTCATGTACTATTAGCCACTATTTTGCACAATAATTATTGTATTTCAAGTCAATTGAACATTTAACTGTTTACGTGAATATTTAATCGTAGCTTACCATTTAATTTTTTGATGGGTACTGGAGAAATTAACAAGTCATCTAATCTCTCCACTCACTTTTTCTTCTGCAAGAGGCAGAGAGAGAGAAAAACACAGAGAGAAAAATGACATCAGCGCCACCGCAAGCGTGCTGCGCACGGCTGAAGCTATTTTTTTGAACTTTTCTAGTTACAAAAAGAATGTTAATTTTCTCCAACATAAGAGTACTTGTATTAATAAATATGCATTGATTAATTTGATTTGAAATAATTTTTTATTAATTGATTTTTTTTCGAGTACAACAATGTATAACACAATCGAAATACAAAATTGTAACATCTGGTCATTGTTTCAGCACTTCCGTCTATTGATTTTTAAATACGTAATTGATACTTCTAAAAGTTACAATGAATTGCATACTGTTACTTGGCAGTCACATATATTGCACTCGTTACTTATTTTCGATCTGGATTTGAGTCTATCGATAGTGAAAATTACATTACGAATAAATAATAATCACAAATCGTTATGTTAAAATGTAAATTTATTAACGTGAGAAGAGTCAACGGAAATTCACTATTTACATTTTTTTTTATCAACGTAATGTATGTGTGTTAGTAATTTTATTCTAACATAAATTAAGAAAGTTTTAAAATTTCAGGAAACAATAAAACGTGAGACAATAATTCACAAAAAAAAGTTCATTTGAACAGCGTTTTATGACAATGATTACAATGTTGATTTACTGTTGAAACTAATAATACAATTTCTCTATTCTTCAATTCCAAATTAAAACAATAATTTACTTAATGATAGACGGTTGGAATAAAATTTTGTCCAAGAATATCATTGTGAGAAGAGAAAAAATATTATTAACAAATAACTAAAATGTTGCAGTCCAACAAGTGATTCACATATTTTTGATGGATGCAACAATTAGCTCATCTTTACTTTCACTGAATCACAGCTGGAGGGTTTAAAATAATTACAAATGTCCAAGTTTCAAAGATGAAACTTTTGCATTCATTTAAGAAATAAATTACGATATGACACTGTACAGATACGTAACTCTCGAGTAAGTAGAGGTGCACAAAGCAATTGAAAGAATAATTTTTTGGAAGTAACTATTTTTTATAGACCAGCTAATATTATTCTAGGATCTTCCACGGCGTCTTTTATTTTTCTTAGGAACATAACAGCCTCACGTCCATCAATTAATCGATGATCATAAGTAAGAGCAACGTACATCATGGGACGAATAACGACCTAAAATCAAAATCAGTAATTTTTTATTAAAACTATTAAAACTTTTTTTGAATTAAAAAAAAAAAAAAAAAAAAAAAATCAATTTTATACCTGTCCTTTGACTGCAATAGGTCTATCAAAGACTCCATGCATTCCCAAAATAGCGCTTTGAGGCGGATTAATGATGGGTGTTCCCATGAGTGATCCAAACACACCACCATTGCTAATAGTAAAAGTGCCACCATCCATATCTTCGATGGAAATTTTTCCTTTTCTCGCTTTATCACTAATAGCAGCAAGTGCTATTTCTATTTCAGCAAAGTTCTTATTTTCTATACTTCTCAGTACTGGAACAACTAAACCTTTCGGCGTGGCAACTGCCACACTGATATCAACATAATCTCTATACACTATATCGCCACCATCAATGACAGCATTAACAACAGGTTGATCTTTCAAAGCATAAGCAGAAGCTGCGATAAACGGGCTCATAAAACCTAGTTTAAGTCCATACTTTTTATTGAAAGCCTCTTGATTCGTTTTGCGAAAATCAATAAGTGCACTAAAAATGTGAAAACAAAAAAAATATGAGTAAAGTACTTTTGTTAACATGTTTTCGATGTCACTTACCTCATGTCGATTTCGTTGAATGTCGTCAGCATTGCATTCGTGTTTTGAGCATCCTTTAGACGTTCAGCTATACGGATTCGCATTCTGTTCATCTTTACTCTCTGTTCTGTTCTAGTTCCAATAATTTCACGTGAGTAATCTTGTGGCGGCAGTTGAACTTTGGCGCCTTCAAGAGACTAAGAGATTTTTTTTTGATAAAACACCCAGTAAAATAAAATCGGTTATTTTTTTAAATTAAATAATTTTAAGCTATGCAGTTTTTTACCGTCAAACCCAAAGATTGTAGATACTGTGTATTTTTAACATAAAAAATATCAAGTACACGGCATAAGCGATTTAATATATTTTTTTTTTTTTCGATAAAAGTTTGTCGAACGAAAAATGTGTGTA